ATCACACATCTGTGCCGTGCCACAGATGTGTTTGAGAATTGGAGCAATGCGACCCCAGCAGAGCTTCATGAAATCCAGCTTTGGAGCGGCTACGGCCAAAGACAGAGGAAGCGTGACCGTGATAGGCAAGCTCAGAAAGAGTTTTTTTGTTTCGTGCTGGATCGTTGCTTTCTGCTCCGGTCGCCGGTGCGATTGAAACGGGAGCAGTTTCAAGGCAGGCAGTTGCAGCGTGTGTCTCGTCCGACCTATGAGGTGTACAAGCTTTTGAGTGAAGAGCCAGGGCAACACTTGATGGCTTGTCCTTCTGGGGGAGATTTGCTCCCAGAGTTGAAGCGGGAGAAAGGGTGGTTGGTGCAGGTCCCACGGGGCCTGGCCGTTCTGTCTCAGACACAGGCAGTGGCCACACCACTGAATCTGTGGATGCCGGGGAGCATGATGGCAGGCTTGCACGTTCAGGTATCCCGTACCCCCTCAGCTCAGCCTCAGGCGGCTCAGGAACTGGAACCGGCAGAGGCAGAGGCGGCAGAGGCAGAGGGGTCAGCAGACGGTGCTGAAGAAGTTCCGGAAGAACGTGCTAAAGCAGCACGTGGAGTCGCTGGAGCTAAGGCCAGATGGAACAAAAGCATTGTGCGTTTGAGCTCCATGCAGGAGATACAAATCGTCAGGTTAAACTTCGCCATGCAGAATGCCAAGGACATTCCTGTCGTTGTGAGCTGCGTGGCCCGTTTCCTGGAGCCGAAGCTAGGGCCCTTCGACCCTGAAGCTCTTCAGCAGATGCTTGAGTCTGTGCCTGGTAAGTACAAACTCCACACCCAAATGCTTCGCCTGGATTGGCTTCACATGCACCACAGAAGATGTCTGATGGCAGAGCAAGCCCTCTGTTCTCACACGTCTGTCAGCAGATTCTTGAGCATGGATGCCAGCCCCCAAGGGGGGTACGAATACTTGGCAATGACAGAGGAAGTTCTTGTGAGAAAGTTGCCGTTCATGCCACCGGCAGACCCATTTAAAGGTTTCTCACACGAATTTAGGTTAATGCCTGTCATGACTTTGGCCAGAGGAGAGGCCAGGACATTTGTCAAGGCCCAAAGGTTGAAGTCTGCAATAATCCTGGAGGCTGGAGAGCCTCATTTCCAGCTTTACAGGAAACAAGTGAAGGGCTGGGTTTCAGATCAAGGAACGGAGCGATTGATACCGGAATGGCCCATAGGCGACGAGGCTGCCATGAAATCCTTAGCAGCATCCTTGAAGGAGGAGGCCACCCTAGAAAACCTGGCTGCTGGCACAAGTGAAGCCTTCCTTTTCAACAGCCTGAAGCATCCAGGGATCCTCCACGTGCTCTTCAATTCACTTGAAGAGTGCTGCAAAGGGTGCCCAAGGTGGGATGCAGTCGAAAAGCAGGTGTCTGCCGTCTCGAAGCTTTTGACGAACAGAAGCTATAAGGAGATCGTGGTTTCAGTCATGCTGAAGCATGCCAGCGGAGAGCACAGGCGGATTGTTCAACGATACCATGGTGAACTGCTGTCCTGGCGGTGGGAGAGTCTCCATGTAACGTTGAAGAACTACTTGGAGGTCAGGCCGATTCTGTTGGAGCATTGGGATCGTTCTCTTTTGTCGTCCGATGCTGCTTTGTGCGACATGGTCGATGCTGCTCTGAAAGATCCTTTCCATCTTGCATATGTGCATTGGGCCTTCATGTTTGCTTGCTTTGTCCAAGGTTGGGCACATTGGTTTGAGGGTTGTTTTTGCCACGAGAAGGAACTGCTGGAGAACAAGTCCTCTCGGACTCGGACCACGATCAAGTGCCCGTGGAAAGGCAAACGATCTTGTGTGCTCTGTGCAGGCTACAGGGATGAGATCACCAACTCGGTCTATCGTTTGGCTAGCGCCTCGCTCACAGAGGTGCTCCTGGAGCTTCCAGACGAGGTGGGTGCTGCAATGGCCTTGATGGACCAGAAAGCCCGTGACAAATGGGCTTCCATTGTCAAGGGAAAACTGGACTATCTAGGTCATGTTCCTCATCTGCTTGCGGCCGGGTTTGCCCATCATGCAAGACCAGACCTGTATTCTTTGCAACAATCCAAAGATGCTGTTCGAGAGTGTTTCACTCAGTACGAGTCTCTCCGGGGGCAGGGTCGAACCACGGAACTGCTTGAGAGTTTGTTTCACAGAAAAGGAGATGCAGGATTGGCTGAGCAGTTATGGAGCTTTTGCGAAAGCCCCGCGGACAAGGTGCTGGAGGACTTTCCCCTGGCATTTGCTGAAATCCAAGATCGCTCGTTCTGCCCCATGGCGGAACGAAGCACAGAGCGACAGCACGTGCTGATCAAAATAGCTTGCCGGAGGACACTTCGACATGCTGGGCCAGCAATGACATGTGCACGGGCCCGCAGGAGCCAGCTGCAGAGTATGATCGACACTCCTAAGGAGTGTAGTTTCTTGGAAGCCAACTGGGGTTCCAAAGGGCTGGACCTGGAACTGCTTTCGCACATCATGCCCAAGGCCGAATGCATGACCAAGACCCGCAGCTACCGAGTTGCTCGCATCTACGGCTATCACGAAGAAGACCATTTTCTCGACCACCAGGCTGATGAAGAAGCAGCTGCGAAAGCCTTGCAGGATAGAACACAGCTGGCACTCCAGGATGCGGCTGAGGACGATGCATCAGGAGTCAAGACTTTGGAGAAAAAACAGTGGATGATAGTAGACTACCTGAAGTCCCAATTGCAGAGTGGCATCTTGTTCAGCTTGCCTGAAGGCCTTTTCCGGGCCATGTTGGCAGGGCCCCCCTCAGAGGACTCTGAGGCTGTGCATCCAGAGATATGTTTGGATTTGGAAAGTTTTGCTGAGGCTTTGCTGCCCGAGGACAATCCAGACGTATCTGCCGAGGACTTGATCTACGGCTATGTGGTGGATGCGAGGCCTGAGAGAAGAACACAGAACAAGGCCCTGGCTCAAGAAAGCCACAAGGGTTTTGTGCATGTGCTCCGCTTCACTGCTGTTGATCTGCAACAGCCGGCCGTGCCTCATGTGTTGTACAGCAACACAATGCAACACACGTTGGATTTCGCAAAGGTAGCAACTCCGGCCATGCTGAAGTTGTTGTCCTCGGAACTGCGTGTTTGGACGGCAAAGGCAACTTCGGTTAAAGTGCAGATCATGCCCCAGGCAGGGTCTTCAGATGCCCTTGTGCACGACGGCCCTTCTGCGGCGCTCAGATTGCCTGCCTTCGTCACAGACGATGACATGCTGGATGATCTGGCACGTGAGGATGGAGTTGTGTCGCTTCAGCATGCAGCAGCAGGGCCGCAAGCCGAAGCTGGCATTCTCCCAGACAACCAGCAATCCTTGTTGCAGGGTCTTCTTGAAAGGCGTGCACTGGGTGAAAACTTTGTTGATGTCATTCAGCTTCCGCATTACAATGCGGATGCATGCAGGAGCCTTGTAGACAAGGGACTTGTCCAGGCTCGCGTGGACGATTTTGGAGCAGTCACTGTAGCATTGAGCGAGGCCACCAAGGTCACCAGTCGCTTGGCTCTCCGAGACCCAACACCGCTTTGCCAAGAAGAGACGGTCATGAACAATGGCCCCGGCAGGAATAAACTTGCGTGGTTGAAGATGCTGTTGCAGGATGGATGGAAAGCTGCTGCGACCGGTGATTGGCACAACCGAGGGCAGGCCCTGAACTTGCCCTCAGGTCTCTTGGACAGGCCAGAAATGCACTTGAAAGCCTTGTGTTTTCATGTCAGCCTGTGGGAAAAGGGCTTGCTCAAGATCTCCCACTCAGGCAGTGTTGCCTATTATGAGATGCTTCTGAAAGAAACTACTCTCTCTGCTGTGAATGACTTCAGTTTAAAGCAATGCAAGGAGTTTGCTTTCGAGAGAAAGCGGAAAAGGCCAGCACACGGACAGAGTGCTGCGAGACCCGAGCAGGGCATCTTGCGGCTTTCTTTGGACCTGCCCAGTCTGCCTGCCGTTCCGTGCCGTGTTCCGGGAATGGCGGACTTGACAGTCCACTTTGATAACTGGAGTCATTCATCCGGTCATAGACGAGGATTCATACAATGCACACGGCATGCGAAGTGCCGGCGATACAGCTTCCTCAAGAGCCATTGTGACCAGGCCACTTGTGTGGCCTGGCTTCTGGTTTGGTGCCAAGAGGGACACAGATTCGAGGACACCCGCCAGCATGTTGCATTCAACCCAGACCCCGCTTCTGTGTCCCGAATGAAAGAGAGGCAGCGGCTGGGTGCGTGAACCAATTCGCATGATGAAGGAAATTTTTCTACTTTGTGCAGATCGTTGCAGCATGTTGCAGCAGCTTGTCGTTATATGTTGCACAAAAAGTTGATGGACAGTTGCATGCCCGTAATGTGATGTTCGATTCTGATTTCTGAGCACAGCAGATGAACGATCGATTTCAGTTTTCATGTCTTGCCTGCACAGCACATCAGCATGTCAGTGAGAGTTGTTTGGCAGAGCAGTGCTTGATGGTTCTGTTGCCGCTGTTGCCGTTTCCGCAGCTTTTTTGGAGCCTCCATGCTGCAGCTGTTCCTGCGTGGAGGCGGGGCCGCTGTGGGACCTTTACTGTAAAGAGGGTTAGGGCGGGAGTTTTGGATGTTTTTTCCAGGGTAGAGAAAGCAGCTCGTGCAGCCAGACGTGGCGGCGAGCAAGCAAGTTCAAGCAGGGCTCGTGCAGCCAACGTGGCGGCGAGCAAGAAGAAAGGCTCGTGCAGCCCCGACGGGGCGGCGAGCAAGAAGAAAGGCTCGTGCAGCCCCGACGGGGCGGCGAGCAAGAAGAAAGGCTCGTGCAGCCCGACGTGGCGGCGAGCAAGAAGAGAGGCTCGTGCAGCCCAACGTGGCGGCGAGCAAGAAATACTCATGCAGTCGGTGCCTTGGTGCTGTCGGAGGGCCGGAGTCTTTCTCGACTTGCAGGCCCCGACGGTACTTAAGGCATGCAGGCGGTGAGTCCAGGAAAGGGCTGAGGGATGAGGGTGAGGGATGGGGTGTTGGGGTATGTTAGGATTGACAGTTTTGTTTTTGAGTGCCTTGCCGCCAGGCCGATTGAAGCCGATGCCGGAGCCGAAGCAGGGCCCCAAGCCGCGAGAAGAGAGCTCGGATTCAGAAAAGGACAAGCCTGCGGGCAAGTCCAATTCCTCGGACAAGTCCGAGGAGAAATCCGAGGAAAAGTCCGAGGACAAGTCCGAGGAGAAATCCGAGGAAAAGTCCGAGGAAAAGTCCGGGAGCGGCAGCGAGGAGAAGAGCGATGGCTCGGCAGACTATGGGAAATCCAAGAGCAAGTCGCACTCCCGGGGCCGGAGCCGCAGCCGACGGGCAAAGAAAGAGAAGAAAGATAAAAAAGAGAAAGATAAAAAGGAGAAGAGGAAGACTTCCCCTTTTGATGCCCTGCTGAAGCAGGGCGGCCATGATGAGGGCACCGGCCTCACCGGCACCGGGGCCGGGGATGATGACGAAGAGGAGAAGAAGACATGGGGGCCCTATGGGGCGGTCCATGCTTTCAAGATCGCCGAGTTGGAGACGGTGAAGCCGGCAGGATATACGAAGCAAGGACAATGGGTGGAGGAGAAGGTGCGGTGCCCAATATGTTGGGCAATCAAGCCAAGAAGCACGCTGTTCATGCACATAACATCGAACAGCGGCTGCATGTCATGGCAGCAAAAGCTGCGGGGATTGGAACCCCCGCCAGCAAAGTTCCCTTGCCGCTTCTGCGGCAAGGCGTTCTTTAAGGCGCCAGACCGCGAGCAGCACGAGTACGGCTGCGGCGCCAAAAAGCCGGCAGAGCCCAGTGAGCCTCCGCAGGAGCCAAAGGAGCGGAAAAACAAGAAGAAAGAGAAGAAGAAGGATCACCGGGACAAGAATGATGAAAAGGAAAGGGCACGGCCATGCTCCTGGTCCGAGGTGTCGAGGCGAGGCGGGCTATCGAGGCGAAGCGTCCGAAGCGAGGCCTCCAGGCCAAGCAATGCCTCGGTAGCCTCGCCGCCGAGATCGAGGGGAAGCTCGCGCGAGCGACGGAGCCGGGGCGCTGTGGTGATAGTGCCCCGCCGTGGCCGGGATGTCATCGATGTCCCGTCTGTCTCCGTGCAGAGGCAGCGGTTGGACTCCCGCAGCCGAGGCCGGGGCCGCAGCAGATCCAAGCACTCCCGGCGCCGCCAGGAGAGTCGCCAGAGACAGAGTCGGCAGGGCCAGAGCCACCAGAGCGAGGGGGGCGAATCCTCAGATCAGAGGGTGGTGGCGTTCAACCGACTTCTGTCTTTGGGCGAGAGGATCCTCTGAAGGGCCCCTGAAGGGCAAGCGGCAAGCACAGGGTGTGCCTGCAGCCAGGTTTTAGATGTTGTATGTATGTGTTGTGTGCACACAGATATCCATACCTAATATGTTAGGAAATAAGTAGGGTGTTTTTCCGAGCTGCAGGGCACCGATGCTGTTAGGCCCTTCGTTTCACACAGAATGGGCAGGCACAGGGAGAACTATAGTATCTAAGGGGTTACAATATGTCACAATAGGTTTTATAGCACGATAGGTCTCAGAAGCAGTGTGTAGATGTGCCAAGCCGACACTACAGTTGCAAACTTCACCGTGCCGGACCGCACGATGCAAAAAACAGGGCAAAGCAGTGCAAACCGTTGTGTATCACAGTCGAAAGCAGGGCTTCAAGGATTTTTTGTGGTATCGCGAGGGTTTGGGGTGGAGGTTCGACAACCCACTGGATTCCAGGCTTAAGTAGGGGAGGGGTTGTGTCCCTCCCATGTCCCTCCCGTGTCCCTCCGGTGTCCCTCCCGACCCGCCGGGTCGGACCGGCCGCACCCCCGGTTTCCTGTGGCAGTCCAGGGGCCTCCCCGGCCGTCCCGCCACCGTCCCGCCACCGTCCCGCCACCGTCCCGCCCCTGTCCCGCCACTGTCCCGCCACTGTCCCGCCCCTGTCCCGCCACTGTCCCGCCACTGTCCCGCCACTGTCCCGCCACTGTCCCGCCACTGTCCCGCCACTGTCCCGCCGGTGTCCCGCCACTGTCCCGCCGGTGTCCCGCCACTGTCCCGCCGCTGTCCCGCCGCTGTCCCGCCATTGTCCCTGTCCCGCCACTGTCCCGCCGCTGTCCCGCCGCTGTCCCGCCACTGTCCCGCCTGTCCCGCCACTCCCGTCCCGCCACCGTCCCGCCACCGTCCCGCCGCTGTCCCGCCGCTGTCCCGCCACTGTCCCGCCACTGTCCCGCCACTGTCCCGCCACTGTCCCGCCACTGTCCCGCCGGTGTCCCGCCACTGCCCGCCACCCCGCCACTGTTCCGCCGGTGTCCTGCCACTGTCCCGCGACTGTCCCGCCACTGTCCCGCCACTGTCCTGCCTTTTCAAGACTGTTTCCAGGTTCTTTTGCTGCTTGTTTGGCTCGCGAGGGTTGAACCAGTATCTAAAGTCTTCACACACAACACACACAGTTGTCACACATAGCATGCTGTTTGCTCTATGCTTGCAAATGCGAAGCTGCGAAGCTTCTGTATGCACGGAACAACACAACTTTTGAACTCCGAGTCTTCAGGCACGAATCATGCATAGTCATGCAGTGAGAGAGTCATGCAGCTGCTCTTAGCGGTCTGTTGCACACCATCAGGCATGCAAGAGAAAAAAGAAACACACGTCAGCTCACCTTTCATTGCTTCCACCATTTCCACCACCAGATTTGCTCCCCGCCATCTTGAATGCTGAGTTTCCAGCACCACCGCCACCTGGCCTGATGGCTAGGTGGCGGTGTGCGGGATCTTTCGTGCCGGCCGGCCTCACCACTTGCTGTTCCTTTGACGGAGGCAACCGTGCGGGTCTCCTCCTCTCTTTCGACCCTTTGAACCGCACGGCTACTCTGTGGCGAAGCACCCCGCTTCCTTTTGTCTGACATGCTGACTGCTAGCAGAAGGTTGATGCTTGAACACACATTCTGCGGATCAGTTTCAACCTTTGTGTTTGCAGCTTGGCAAGAAGGTGCATTCCCGTCAAGATTTGTCTCACAGTGGCTTGTTAGCTAACTAGTTAGAAAGGGAACCGTCCCCTTTGGAAAGAAGGACCGGTGGGCACCGGCCTGCCGGCCAATGGCCGACGATCATCTGGACACAGAGATCGCCGGCTACAGGGCCGGACGAGTGCTGCGGGTTCTTGGCCGCCCTTTGAGGGTGACTGAGCCTTGTGTTGGACTGGGAGGGCTACGACGGTTGTGTGAGCTGTCAGGAAGCCAGTACCTGTCCACACAGGGCTTTGACACGGAAGCTTCCTTGCTTCCCTACTACAATAACTTGCAGAGGTTTTGTGGTGCTAGCGGTGTCCAAGCCTTGAGATTGGGCACTGACGGCGATGTGGAGAAAGTTAATCCGGAGAGCTTGTTGCCCGTGGAAGCCATTGTGGCTGGCCCCCCGTGCCAGCCATGGGCAGGAACCGGACAGCAGCAGGGCACAGCTGATGCAAGAGCTTCGGTCATGGATGTCTGCATCGGCTGGATCATAGCTCAGGCTTGGCAGGGTCAGCTGCTAGCCTTCGCTGTGGAAAACAGCCCCCGGCTGCGTGGAACTCCATATCTGCGGGAACTGCTGCAGCGACTGCGGGCGTGCATCCCCATGTTTGCTGTCTCCGTGGAAGTGCATGACCTGTGTCAGCTTTGCCCGCAGCACCGGGAACGTTTGTGGATCCGGGGCTTGAGGAGGGATTGCCTCCGAGGCTTGCCTGGCCTGCCGCCGCCTTTGAGCATGAAAGACCTCGGTGGCAAGGTGCCTTTGGAGACCGTGTTGGACTCGAGAGCACTCCCAGCGGACCCAGGATCACTCTCCCCAAACATGCAGTGCAACTTGGCGGCCTATTTGACTCGTGTGCAGGGAGACATAGAAAATGGGAAAGCAGGCGAGATAGTCTACGACGGCACCCCGCCTCTGCGAACAAAAGGGCCGAAGCTGTGGCTGCTTCGGACACAAGATGTCAAGGAGAAGCGCCCTTGGCAAGAGCACAGCTTGCATAGGTACATGCTACAGGAGGAAAAAGCTATGCTCCAGGGGCACGAACCCCGAACCCCGTGGCTCTTCAGCAGCCAGACCCAAGCAGAGAAAGCAATCGGTAATGCTTACCACCCTTTGCATTTGGGCATCATGCTGTGCCCTTTGCTGGAGATTGCTTTCCTGCAGGGCAAGTTGAAGTCCGAGCCGCAGACCATTACTCAGGAAGAGTTGTGGCAGCTAACCCCTCCCCCAGAGGCAGCTCTGGCAGCTCAGCTGTCAGAAGGCGATGAAATGGACGAGGATGAACAAGCCGCAGTTCACCCGGAGCCAACGATGCCACTGCCCATAAAGGTGAAGGTTGAGCCTGGGTGCAAGACTTGGGCAGTTCACCCGGAGCCAACGATGCCACTGCCCATAAAGGTGAAGGTTGAGCCTGAGTGCAAGACTTGGGCAGTTCACCCGGAGCCAACGATGCCACTGCCCATAAAGGTGGAGACTTGGGCTTCCGGCAGACTCAAAATGGAAAGGTCCAAGCGGGACTCTGTGGTGAATTTGGCTTCACCGCAGAGGCGGGTCCGGAGAAAGAGAGGCGACTGCTAGGTTGGCTAACAGATTAATTCGACAATTAGCAACCAAGCCGGTTGCTGCAAATTACGTGCAACCGTGCTGCTGGATGTGAATTAGACAGAAACTGAACGGCGAAAACAAATAGGTTTCATTGGAGCAGACCGAGGCACGACAGAGCAAGCCAATCCATTAATGTGTGATTCCCATAGCACACCCACATATTCATGCTAGGGGTAGGGTTTCAGCTCAGCAGAGCGAGAGTTCGCTGTAGGAGCCTTTGGTGTTGCTTTTGAAACCATGGATGAAAGAATCCTCTGAGCTTTTCCCGCAGCCGTGTTGGGCCGCTCTGCCCAGGGTGTTAACTGGTGGGTGTACAGTGTACAAGAGACTGCTGTTCTGTAGTGAACATGGCAGCTGCGGGATCGGCTGGGGAACCTGCGGCGGCGAGCGGAGAGACTGCACTGGGGGCACTGTGCTGCCAAAAGTGTGGCCAGTCGACGACCATGTCGCTGTCATCAGCGACTGGTCGAAATCCATTGCTCCGAGCCTGTAATGGCTGTTTGGCAACAGATCGCTGGATCAGCCGCATCACAACGAAACCCAAGAACCGCGAAGAAACTGAAGACGAAAAGCAAAGGAGGGCGAACGGTATGAAGATAAAAGAGGACCTCAAGAAGAAGTCGGCTGAAGAGAAGAAAGCCTTCTACCTCGAACAGAAAGTCAACCGCCAAGCGGAGGACCAGAAGAAGAAAAGGACGTTCTCGTCCGCGGTGGGATCCGTGGAGGAGTCGAGGGAGGCCGCGGCGCTGAGAGACGATGTCACGAATTACATACCCTTTAAGAAATGGGCGGCTCAGGAAATGGCACTCCGAATCTATTCGAGTCTCGGTGAGGCGAAGGTTGCCTGGGAGAAGTTGCTTCAGGATCCGAGCACAGTGAGCATAATGGAACACGGTGAGGCGCTCGTGTTGGATTATTCGGGCATCCAAGTCCGTGGACGACAGTCCCACAGCCTCAAGTCAGCCATGCGGCAGAGGATGGACATCTCCGAGCAGAAGGATTTGGATGAGTACATGGAGGAGTCCGACTCCCGCATCAAAAGGGGCCGGTCGAGGCTGGCTGTGGAGATGACCGCGAACTCGGAAAAGACCGGCGACGAGCCCATGTCCGTCATCCCACTGCTGACGGTTTCAAAGGATTTGAGCCAGCTGCGGGAACTGGAGGAGGCCCGAGATGCGGATCTGCAGATGCAGGCAATTGCCATAGAGGAAAGCCAGAGGCAGGAAAAGGAGGAGAGAAAGCGGAAGGCCGAGGCCGTCGAGAAGAGCCTGCCTCTGGAGAAGTTGGCCCTGCAGGCCTCCCGGAAGAAGGCCATCCAAACGATGGGAGATGTTGTCCTCCGGAACCAGGCGACAATCACAGCACTCTCCGCTGAGAGCCAGAAGCTTTGTGAGTTTGAGAACCAGGACCTGAAGGACGAACTGAAAGAGAAGATGAGCCACGTCGACCGGGCTATTGCGGTTCTGAGTGAGGAGATCGCCAAGTATGACTCTGAGTGGGAGAAGAAGGAAGTGGAGGCCACAACCACGGCGGATGAGATGGCCGAGCTCCGAGGGGAGATCGCAGTGGTCCTCAAGGGGTTCCACTCCAACAACGACTCATGCAAGAACGTGAAGAACAAGATCCAAGACGTGCGAATTTGGATGGCGAAGACGAAGAAATCGATCAACGAGCGAGAGAAAG